CCCCCCCCCCCCCGTGTCCCTCTGGCACCTAACACTTTTCCACCTTGCCTGCAATACCTTCATGGTAGCAATGATGTTTGAGAGACTGCTTTCAAACAGCCAGGCTACCACTGTGCAAACCCCTTTTCCCAGTGAGGAGATACATTTTTCTATTACTGAGCTATCCAGTCTGCCTTACAGTTTCTCTGGGGGCTGCCCCCATAGGGTTCACCTGTAGCACCTTCACCGGGTACCCTGAGTGGCCTCCTATGCATTCAGCCACTCATGCCTCAATTACAAACAAACAAGGAAACATAGCAACTTATCTCTACTTGAGACTTACTCTCCTGAGCTTCTTCTACTACTGCAGCCTGGGACCGCTTCCCCACTGTAGTCAAGGAGTCCTGTTTAAATCCTCTACCTGTCTCCACCCCTTCCAGCCACCAGGCCCGTGCCTAATGGGGCACAAGGATTCCACCTCTGCAAATCAGCAAGCTTACTGCCCTGCTCCTTCCCTGATGGGCCACAGTCTCTTCAGCTTTGTGACAGTCAACTTCCTATCTCACCAGAGCACTGACCTTTGTTGCCTACTGTCATGAAGCTTGCTTCCAGGTAGTCACTCACATCCCAGTATACCTTATTGTCCCCAGGCTATGATGCTTACCGCCTTACAGCTGCTCCTGGCCCAGCCACGTGCACCAGGCTGCAGTTCTATAATGCTGCCTGGCTCCACTCCACTCCCTACTACAGCATGCCATGTACCACTCACAGCTTGACCCAGCTATAGTGGTCACTGAGTGCAGTGCAATCCTGGACTGGCCGAAGCAAGCACTGAAGGTAATGGATTCAGGTTGCAGAGAGGAGTGGTGCGCTCAGTCTGGCCTATAGGACCGCCACCATGCTGTTTACCTGGACTGCGGACCATTCCTGGGCCACTCATCTGGTCCACAGGGCCAGATGAATTTGACCTGATGATGGTGTGCAGTCACCTGACATAATAGCCTGATACATCTAGGAAGTTTTTAAAACACTCTTTCTGTTTCTGATCATTCTTTTTCATGGATCCCCCTCTTGCAAACTTGCTCATTACATAAATCACAAAAGAAACATTAAGGCTTACCTTGATTAAAACATTGATGTTATTGGTTATTTTCAAGGCAACCACTTTAATTTTGTTCTGCCAAAGGGAAGAAAAAACAGCAACTGAATTCCAGAAACTTCAGAGATTTGAGATTACATGAATTACTGGCATCAAACAAGAATCTTAGTGCACATCCTAATAAATTCCTGTGGTCTCACTGAGAGAGCTCTCTAAGCTTTTATAACTTATTTAGGTGTAAATTTTAAACTTTCCCCAGTGCTGTATTTCATGAATCCCACTGCTGACCACAGAATTTCAAGAACTAAATTTCTTAATAGTCTTTGTCCAGCACACTTCCCAATTCAAAACAGAATATATAGGTCACATCTATGCCAAATGGACGCACACGCTATAGCAGAACAAAACTATCAGAAACTGATGAGGAAAGTTAAGCTGTAAAATGTAGCATCAGTGTATATACATAATAGTGGTACATATAATAAATGCAGGACAGCTAAAACACAGCTTCCCAAATATGAAGTGGTGGCAAACTGCCCTCACCTTTTTTTCGAATGATTTTAGATTTAAGGAAAGTATTTCTGAAAATGACTGACAAGCACTGGTTAAAGATAAACGTTAGATACTGTGCCTACTTCTTCCCCCGCAGTTCTGTTAAACCAGTGGTTTTCAAACTGTATTCCATAGAATGCTGGCTCTGTGTCAATCTTCAGGATAGGGGTAGAGACCAAGAAGTGATATATAAGGGTTCTGTGACTTTAGGAAGTACTGTGCTAACCCCTCTCAGTCTTATTTGTAGCCTCCTTGGTAATTAACACTTTTGGCAAATCTTCATGCCAATCTGAAGGATTCCATAATAACACAACAGTAGGTCTACTGAAATCTGTGCCAACGCACCCAGTACCCCCTGGCACTGCAATCAACCCTCAGCCCTCTCAACTTTTCCAGCTTCCTTGAACATGAGCCTGTAGTAATACACGCTACTCCTGACTTAACCACTGCAAATGACACCAAATTCAGTACTTTCATAATACTGACAACCAAATACTAGTTATGAGCTTGAGTTAAAACTTATTTCCATTTGTGGAGAAGCGAACCCAAGATCTTTACAGATAAAAGAATGGAGCCTTCATACAAACTTCCATCTAGTAGCAGCATTTCCTATGATTCTACAAACATTTGCTGTTTTCCAGATCATGAGACAACTGTCAAACTGCATCAGCTTTTTCATCCTCCAAATAACTAGTTATCAACTATACGGACAGCAGTTACCTTGAATGTGGAGGCAACTTAAATTCACTTAGCAGGTTTAAATGGAATAATAGTACCCAGTCCTGCTAATTTAGTCCACTCACCCCACCAACAAAGGCTAGCATATACATGGTTTTGAAATGGCTATTTCAGTAACCTCAGTAGAAGGAGAACTGCTCCTGAGGAATACCTACCTCCTCTGTTTTTAAGGCTTCCCCTGTTTTTCCTTGGAGTGCAAGACGAAGCTGTCTAATATACACCTGCAACCCTCGGGCAAAATACTGTAGCCTAATAGAAAAAGTGAATGTTAAGTATTTAATGAACTCCACTCGAGCAAAAGTACAAAAGTATACATCACCTTTATAAAAAAAATGCAGCACAAGTGAAAGGAAAGTGATACGACTAAAAAAGGCGTTTTTGGCAAATAAATACCAGAAGTGCTTTTGCAACACTGTATTATTTAATCAATACACCTGATTTATGCTTTCCTGTACTCAAACTACTCAACAAAGCAAGGAGTATTAATTGTTAAAATGCTCTTACAACAAAATTCCATTACATTTGTATCTAAGTGATCATTTCTCTCTCGTACGTTACCTGATTTTAAAATCTTTCAATTTCTCTGCATTCAGCTTGGCTGTAAGGAAATCTGGAAGTTTTCGTCCAAGCTGATGAAAACTGTACAGCAGGCACTCCACATAACTGAATTGTAACTTGGGCTCTTCATTACCAGCATTTTCCCCATTCTCTGCTTCCTCTGGAGGGAGGGGCATATACTCCTTATGGAGCAGAAATCAGAACGGATACATTAGACTGAAAGCCTGAAGAAAAGGAACTGGAGGGCAAGTGTGTGTTGTACCTCTGCCAGAAGGCAAAGCCAAGAAAACTCCAATAATGGAAATAAATGCAACAAAAATAATTGTGTAGATAGTTCATAAATTTAATCTACTTATCAGTCACCCTTGAATATAGGATCCCATGAACATACCCCTACCCCATTTACTACTTAGGAAGTCAGTAAGCTTATTAATACAAAGATTTTCATTGCTGGACTGCCAAGGAAAACTGTTTACTCCTTTAGAGGAGTTACTACAACCTTGTGCACACACTATTTAAGCTAGATCAGACCATAACCTTGTCTACATTCATAAGTTCAACAGGTTCTCTTATCATTGCGCTAGTTTTAGAGATACAGCACTTGTTGGAACATTAGTACAAATCATTTGCTAACATTTCTTGTCATGTCATTTATCCCTGATCTAAGCCAGCAAGTACCCTATCACCATTACTAGCAATGACAGAACTCTGCAGGAATTTGTGCATCACCCTAAAACTTGTCAAGCAAAGGTACAGCACTAATAGTAGGTTTTAAGATATGTTCACCATGATACGTTTTAAGACCATTATGTGAACACAAGTCATGCTACTTTCATCAAGATGAATTTTAATTGATGTGAATGCAGACAGTTCAGTTCATTAGAGGGATCTGAGTGGGGCAAAGATACCTGCTCATGTCATAAATAGGAGTGTCTTCAAAACAGTCATTAACTTAACAACACAGAATGTACCACA